AGTAAAAAAATAGATATCGAAACTCCGATTATCTGAAGTACACTATTGATAACCTTTGCCATATTTTTATTGGTGTCCAATATTGATAGATATGTATAAATATATAGTCTGTATAAAACATCAATGTCAACCCCAAATAACAGTAGTAAAAACAAGATGAAATGTGTATTATTTTTTTTATAGTTTTTCTACTTGGAATTTGTTTAGCATTTTTGTTAGATACTAGTACAAAATCAACATTTCTTGAACAGTCATCTCTTTCTGACCGAAATTTTGTCACTGTTATTCATGCAACTTTTGTCCGAGGCAAAACAAATCCGTCATCAGTTAGAGCAAGCTGTAATGCAACTCCAACAAGAAGAAATAGGATTGAAATAACGAATCTATTTTGATAAGCCGACCGAAACAATCAATGAAAAAGACTTCTGAGATTTGAAAACACAAAATACCAATTTAAAAGTAGAAAATGTCATTATTACTGCTAACCTAAGTGTCCTCACGCGTAGATACGCTTCAATGCAGTCTTATTTTATTGCACAGATGGTGGAACTTAATTTAGTAAAAAAAACACATTTCATTTGAAGGAACAGATAACGGAACTTCAAAATTTTAAAAGTATTAATCAGTCACAGTCCATTTAAGCACTTGAGCAGCGAATACGATCGCTAAATACTAAATAGCTATGTTAACTAGCCATGAAACTGCAAGACAGCAAGATGTTGTTGCTTTATATAAACAGTTAAATAGCACCGACAACGACGTAAAGGCTTTAAAGCAAACAACTGATATGTTTCAAGAATTATACACTTTATGACATAAATACGTTGGAAGTTTCTTTCAAAATTTATACTAGCAGATGTATAGTATTGGATAGAACGGTATGATCTCATTTTAAATGAATTCTAAACAGTAAGATTTATAAACAATACCTCTGTTTCTTAGATAAGGCACCAGTTGCTAAGCGATATTCAATTCCAAAAATTGATTTAGAAGAGACAAAATCACCAACAAAAGCTAAGAGAATCCCATGAACTCCAAAATACACCAAATAATTTATGTCGACAGGGTACGCCTCTCCTGCAAATTCGTGATGGCTACCATAAAATTTATATAGTGTAGATTTCAGACGTTCTGCCATATGACTCTGTCGGATCAGTTTTGTTTCAAAGAGCACACGCCTGATAACGAAGTCCGTATAGTGTGAACATGCGCGAAATATTGTATTAGCTGAGATATGTAAACGCCGTTCGACGGAGCTGGGAATATGTTACTGCTATGATAATTGGAGTTAGCAAAATGAGTATATGTTCAAACAGTTGATTGAAAAATCAAAAGAAAAACTCTATACATTTCATAAAAAGTAAAAGAAATAATATAAAAATAAAATTAAAAAAAAAGTTCGGATCGATCAATTTGTTGACCCAGTTGATGAGTTACAATTCGATTGCCGAAAGACTTAATTCGATCCAGAAAATTAACGTTTGCTAACGGCTTTCATATGTTTCGTTCTTGCAATCCATTTTTAATTTAAGACAGACAACAAATTGATTGTTCAAACAGGCCGAAACGTAGACAATCATGTATAACTATTGTTAAAATTCATTGAACATTTTTTATGTAAAAAAAAATCTTGATTCAAATAAGGGCCTGGATGGGGTTTACAGAATAGATGATAATGGGGGAAAATGAATATAAAAATATTGAACAGAGAACAAGTGGGTGTTCAAATATAAAGAATAAAGAATAAAAAATAAAAATCCAGACCCTCTTAAATAGAATAATGATAAAATCATGTAATCTATGTTATGCAGAAATTGTGTAAATTACACAGTTATTGCCGAATTCATATTACATTGAAAAGCTTTATATTAAACAATGTGAAATGTTTTCGTACTGTATGAAGGTTTGTTTGATTGTCTACGTTTTGGTATTGTATTATATTTAGGCTATGTGATACATTTTTTTGAATTTTGTGTTCATTAAACTCATTTTTAACACACTTTTTCTGTATTCTTCATTTTAGGCCCATTTATATGCATTTCTGAATATTTTGGGCCCATTGTTTGTTTTCTCATATTTTGGATGTATTATTCTCTCATTCTATAAACCCTATATCATATTCTCCTGCATTCGATAATGGTAATTTTATACTTTTGAACCTATGTGTGATCAGTTTTTTAACAGACCAAAAAAAAAATTGTTGATTATTTTCCAATCAATTCCCCTTTTTATAATAAGAACAAATTGTTTGGATCTTACTTTTCGGCAGGTCATGATTATTTTATGAAATCAAACATTCTGTAGACACATTGGCCATATTTTATGAGTCAAAACAACCTACAATTAAAGACAAAAGAAAAGAAAAATTATTTTCGGTCTGACTCTGAATGTGATATTACACTTGATAATTGTTCCCCAAAATCTTACGATTAAATCAAAATTGATCGTCAATAATGAAAATACGCCAAACGAGCTGCTCTAAGCTTTGTTAATTATAGAAAGGGGCAAGGTTGTGACATACGGATTGTTACAGCAAAAAATGTCTTTCAAACACTGCAAGGAACGATTATTTTTTAGACAATGATGTATGGACCATAAAAATGAGTTGAAGGTCAGATTAACACTACCACACGGTCATGTTCACCTTGCAATCATTCGATAAACAAAATATAGTTAATCCATTGATTATTGTATCTGAGATGTGGACGTCACCGCGAAACCTGACCTTGATCACTAATCAATGACCTTGTAGGGATCCCATAACAAATATAGTTGTCATATTGTGTATATTCTATACATCGTCAAACACTTTTGAAATTTTCGGTCTTGCAAGTTCCCATCAGTAAGTAAACTTATGAAATTATAAGACACAATTTGCTCTTTCTCACGTGAATCCATTCATTTACTGCAAATACCATAAATTCATCTGATATTTAACCACATATTTCATTACTATAAAATACAGCAATTATAAGAGTAGGTTCACTAACTCATAATTTTAGCCCTACAAATCAGAATTTTTTTTAATGCGACTATGTTGGTAGAATTTGATGAAAATATATGATAATATTTCTTATTGTTTTAGTTTGAAAAGAGTTTTTCCAATTGCGTCATTAGTGATGTATTTGTGACAACATAAATTCAGGAGAATTTCGATAAAACCTGATTTTTTTTCAGAATTTTCAAAATTTCTGACAGTCACCCCTCCCCTAGCCCACAAATACTTTTACTGAAATATTCTTTGTATACCTTATTCTTTACTGTCAACCACAATTTCAATGGGCGAGGGTCGGCGCCCCATATAAAATCAAGAAAAAAAGTAGAAAAGGCGACATATTTCTAAAAAAGTTGACTAAAAGGAAATCTATTCCTATTTCAAGCTAATGTATTTATAAACATGAAGCTATGCAATTTCTCTCATACTTTCAAAAATTATGTATTTAGCAATACATACACAATAGATTTACTCAAACAATTTAAGTTTTAGAAAATACACCTTTACAGGGCCGTTTATTTGGATTACTGTTCCACACCGTATCTATAAAAGGCCTCGACATAACAAAATGAAAAACAATTAATAATCAACTCTTTTAGGAATTATGCATAATCACTAGAAATAATGTCAGGGATTATACATAATTACTGGAATGAAGAGACAATGAATACAATTATCGATAATTGATTCTATAAAATCTTATTTGAGCATCTTTAGAAACATGAATATAAAAATGTTCTAATACAAATTTTTTTTTTAAAAACTACATTGTAAATTTGGGAGACATCTACTATTTCATATTTACCAGTCAGCCATTTTCATTCTTTGATGTTTTCTTCCTTTTTTTTTTTTTTGCAACAATATCCGCTTTAAAAAACCTTGTCCTTCGCATATTTAGTCTGATTTTACTGCATGTTGGAGATAAAAAAAAGTGTTCATTAGAAACATCTGAAGGTGCCAAATAAGTGAATCAGCCACCTCAAATTCATTTCATGTATGGGATCCGAGCACAATTCGATGTTTAGTAAGCCAGTCAATATCCTTTTTAGCCCCTTCATAAACAATGGTCATTATATTTTTTGAAGTCTTCTTTTCCGCAATCACCATGTAGAATCGGTATCAAAACATTATAGCCAATGTATGCCTCCTCCAAAATTGTGTTCAATCTGTCAAGCATGCGTTCTGTTTTTGTGTACGTTTAGTTGCATTAGTTTGCTATTAAAGTTTGAATTCCTTGTTCATTGGAACATAGAAAACATAAAACAGATGTTCAATAACCTTCGTCGCCATTTGTTTTACAGCAAATTACAAGCGCTGTGCATTTACATTTAGAACATGAATGCGCGTGTGATGCTGTTTTGGGCAAACAATGCAATTCATTACATGCATGTGCAGGTATCATTATCATTAAAATGGTATTATTAATTTAAATTTTTAACACTTTTTTGTTTATAAGTTAATGGGGTTCAACACAGTTAAATAGCATATCACTAACAAAATTGATTTTTTGTCTATATTTGATTTAGTTTTATCAAACAAAGGATCCTTGTATTATTGATATTTCCTGAAATGATATTAAGGAATTTGTAAAATAATTCTTAAAATTTTCAGTGATTATTTAAAATACTAGTCATTTGCTGGGATCATATATAATAACTCATTGATTATACAAATTCACTGTAAAATATATATGCAGATCAAATTTCTTGAAAATGTCGATTTTCCTGAATCGTTTTATTTTGTGAAATCATCATTGTTCTCATATAATTGCAAATTTTAAACGCTCTGAATGACTTTTATCTATATCCAATACCTGAACTTGTAGGTAACTGTAAATCCCAAATGTATTTCTACAATTTATTTTGAAATTATTGAACTTAATAAGGATCAATAGACAATTATCAAATCAAATAGACATGCGTGACTCTTATCAATGTATACGTTGGGGAACATTTGTTTCATTTTATGTACATAGATAACTAGTCAGAGCCAATTAAGACAGCTATATCAACATTTCTTGATATACAAAAACAACCTATTTCTCTAATGTGTAATCATATCAGTCATTTTTAGATTAGGAATCACAAGAATAACTATTGACAAGTGATAATCGGTATTTCAGTAATGATTTATACACTTCACTATATATTGACAGTTATAATAGTTTGTAATGGACATTCAGACTTCAATTTGCAATACGCCATTTATAAAGTCATTGAAGGAAAGAGAACAACAACGACATCAAATGTGGCTGTAAATGGTATATCGAAATTGGCTTGCTCCGTACTATGTTCATCAAGAAATGACTGTTGCATGGCTGCTTATGATACTGTTAATTCAGACTGCATTGTTGATGTTTCTGGAAGTTGTTGCTTGCCTACAACATCAACTGTTGGGTGGCATGTGATGGCAAAAGAGAAGATCGGTAAGTATACCAGGGTTTTCGATGTCACAAACTTGTCAAAACAGTTACTAAATTTTATCATCGGTACAAGTACATCATTCGTAAATAATAATCAACATGCAGACATCGTATACGTTCAGGTATTTCAAATCCAATCTTTTATGGTAATATTCTATACAAAGCACAAAAATGTCGTCATTCACCTCAAAAGCTAACCAAACCTTTAAACAGAAGGAATATAGTTACGATACTGTTGTCAGGTCATTAAAGATGGCATTTTTGGAATAAATATTGATTCACTCATAGGGTCTTTGCATCGGAAATAAACACATTTATTCTAAAAACCGTTATTACGGGTTATGTTCTTCTCATATATTTTATGATGGTATGATACTAAATCCCTAACGGGAGGGATTGTGCTTGATTTTTATATGATGAAGACATAATCTTTCAATCAGTTTGGAGCTGGCATGTCAGTAACTGCTAGTAGTCCTTTGTTAATTTATGTATCATTGTCATTTTGCTTAGTTTCTTCTGTTACCTATTCTGACATCGGACTCGGACTTCTTGTAAACTGAGTTTTACTGTGTGTTTGTTTATTCTACATTGGATAGAAGTATAGAGAGGGTTGATATCTCACAAAACATGTTTAACCCCGCCGCATTTTTTGCGCCTGTCCCAAGTCAGGAGACTCTTGCCTTTGTTAGTCTTTTTTTTTAAATTTTGGTTCATTTATATGTTTCGGAGTTTAGTGTGACGTCCATTTTCACTGAACTAGTACACCTTTTTGTTTAGAGGCAAGTTGAAGCCCGCCTCCGGGTGCTGGATTTTCTCGCTGTGTTGAAGACCCGTTGGTGGCCTTGGGCTGTTTTCTGCTCTTTGGTCGAGTTGTTGTCTCTTTGATACATTCCTTGTATTTTCATAAGTAAATTTTATGCATGTATATGTCGATGTTTAAGGAGGAAAATTTTCTTTGTCGCTTTACAAATTTTTAAAACAAGATTCTGGTATCAGCAGCACTAAGGTAATATGTACTACTTTCTGGTATGTTCTTTCAGAATTGAGTAAACTTTTCTGTTCACATGTTATACAAAAAGTTTTATAAATTTGGTAGACGCAACTTCTAATTTTTATGCTTTATCAGTTGTTCACGAAACTCTGTACTATTTAAAATCCTAACAAATCGATGCACATAATACATAAGTAGGGCATCCTGTTTCGTTGAAAAGTACCAAATGTATGTTCCTTTGGACCAAGTAATTTAAAGCTGCCCTTTCCACTAGGAAATTAACTTTAAAATGTATCACATTCTTTAAATTTATCATCCAATCCCATCTCCCCCACCCCCACCCACCCCTTTTTATGCACAAATAATATCAATCTTTTGGATGAATTACTTTTTGTTTCGTCTTCAGATGTTTGTTTTTCTTAATTGAAACGTTAATTTAACCTTTACGCAAAAATATGTTCTTGATTAAAGAAATCTAAGATTTATCAAAAAACGTTAACCTTTTGTAGTTAGTTATCTTTCTTTCTGCATCATGTAATTGTTTAAGAAGATAAGTTAGTTTTATTTGAATAAGAAAGGGAAGTCTGATCCCATTTGTTGTACGTTATAGCAAATATAATGTGTTTAAATTAGTTCGTGTGTTTTCCATTAGATTGTAAAAAAGAAGAAAGAGCGATCTAGATTTTAAACTAAATATGCGAATATTGAAAGAGGAATGCAATTTATTTGTGTGAATTTTCATCTAAATAAAGAAAAAAACAGTGTGTTATTAATCTTATAACAACGATTTTTCTTACATACACAAATCATTCTTTGTTTGATTTTAACAAATCAACTGAGCAATTTACGAGGAGATAACTCAGTAAATCTAATTTTATAAAGGGATGCACAGTAAATTTATCCATTTTATTATGTAGCAGAAAAACTAGTTTCGTGACTCTTTTTATTTTCTAAAAGCTCATCATGAGAGCTATCGTCTCATATTTTATGATAAATGCTATAGTTTAGTTTTCTATACACATTAAATGGTTTTGCCGTGTATAATATTTACAAAATTTGGCAACTTTGCACAAAATGTAGCTTGAAAAAACTCAGTGACCTATACTTTTTATAAAATTTTTGAAAATTGTAAGCTATAAATTTCATTTGGCAAAGTATGAAAAAAACAACCTTTTTGTTTTTACATTAGATCCCCTATCGACCTAAAATAAAGTGAACGTGTGAAAAGTGTTTTTTTTTTTCCTCTCCCAAAGAAACATTTAAATATATGCCAAAAAATGAACTGCAAATAGACATATAACTTTCTTTTACGGAGGTAGACGAAGGTGACAACGGTAAACCGGTGTTCAAACTTAGGTTATTGGACGCACTCTTAAAATCACTGCTATGTTTTAAAATATTTTCTAGAAAAAAAAGAACAATATTGTTATTGCAGCACTCTATACTATGATATTCAGTTACACCGATTATCAAAATTATGTTTCACATGACTGCGCTACATCATCGATGGAACCGACTATATTATAAGCACTTTCTGATTTAAAGAGTTGTCGCACAGAGCGCAGGTCTATCATTTAAACACGTATTTATCACATTTTAGCTTAACCCTGGCAGTTCTAAACAATTCTGATTTATCTGTACACTAGGATTGCCAGTCTAATTATTTATCTTATAATTAATTGTTGTAGGCTGTGAGTGTGGATGGTTGCAACATGGAAATAGTTGTTATTATGTTCCGACTGACAAAATGACATGGCCAGCTGCTCAGGTATTAATCGAGTTAATTTCAATGAAGTATTTATTATCGCAGCTGACTAAAGTTGTCGTGAATTTATTTCCCAGTGAAACCATATAAGAAATATTTCCCTCGAAAACTATAAGATTTTTGGTGCAAATATCGAAAATACTTACGTGTAAAATAGTACCAGTTTACTTTCTATTTCCCTGAAAATATCAGTTGAATATGCATACCAGAGAAATACTATTATTGTCTGTTTTGTATTGAAATTATTCATTTTCATAAAAATAAACCCATTTTTTTGCTATTCTTTTTTACGAAAATTGTGCTATATGAGAAATTCCTTTTTGTATCACCACTTCCAAATCTAATTGATTGTTTGTGTAATCCTCTGAAATTAAACTGGTAAAGTTAAGATGATTTCAATAAGTAATATTGCATCATGTTTAGAAATCTATGCATTTTTCTTACATTGTACAATGTATATGGAGAAAAGTCGAATTTCTATTGTTTCCCAATCAAAACACGTTCCCCTTAGAAATTATTAATTTTCTCAACATAGTAGGTTACATTTGTATATTTTTCAAAAGTGTTTATTGCTTATATTTAGTTCATTATAATATTCAGTTTTTTTTGTATCCCACTGATATGATGAACTATTCCGATGGAGTCAGCTGAATTCCGGTATCAGTGCTACATTGTGCAAAATCATAATTTGAACTCTTTGTAGTTTTTATATATTTTAACTGAATAACAATCACATTTAATTTATTATTTACCCAGATAATGTTTATTGCTACATTTTTTCTTGGATAATTTTCCATTAACTCTTACAAAAAACCCAAAACAAGATACTCTATTGTTTATAGTTGCTATTAATGTAAAGGCTAAACAAAATTATACTTCTTGAACCAAGGCATCTCATAATATAGTATTGTTTGTAAGTATCCTCTAAAATGAAATATTAAAACAGTAGCATAATTTTTTTTATCGAAAAAATATAAGAAGATATACTTAGTTCTACTGCTCTATACTAAAGGTGTTTTCGATTCCATATATAATAATCTTATTGTATTTTAGAAAGAACGTAGTGAACAATATGTTATTTTTACAGAAAGAAAACCAATATTTTTATTGTAATCGATATTTGAATCTATGTCTGTGCATATTATGTATATTAGTTAATTACCACATGCATCATGCTTCTTAATACATAAGTACTCACCACAAAAAAAAAAGAAACAAACAGTAGCATATAATTTATTTCCATTACTGGTACTTAATCATGTAAATCTCCGGATCTGTTCTACACAATATATGGATATCAATTGAATATGTATTGTTTCCCATAAAAAAACTTTTGGTTCTGTTTCCTGTAGAAATAATTCATGGATAATAATCGAATTTGTATTGTTTCCCAAGGACCTGTTTGCAATTTTCTCCAACTGTTACACTCTAATGTATACATTTTTCATAAATGGCAAGACCAAAGAAAATATCGTCTTCTCGAATCAGCTCTTTATATAATATTTGTTTGTAATTGTCCTCTAAAATGTCATATTAAGGTGGTACCCAACACCTTGACTAATATTAATTTGGCTCGTTTAATTTTCATAAAATTTTGACAAAATGTTTCCTTTGACCCTTTGACAAAAATATAAAAATTTCAAAAAATTTGAACCAACCACTTTATCAGAAAAATTTCATTGGTTATATAGCAGTTTGACAAACACTGATTTTGATCATTGAGAAGCTTAATATTTCCTTAACAATACAACGTGATTAAAACGTTTAGCTGATTTTTACAGAGTTATCTCCCTGTAGTGTAAGGTACCATTTTAAACTAGAAGCTTATAGTTGAGTTGTATCAGTAGTACTTATTATATTGATAAATCTCTACATCTTTCCCACATCAAATATGGATAACAGTTGAAGAAAATTACAAACAAGAATACCCTATTGTTTAAGAAACAGACAACAAAAAACAGTTCCTTGGGAAACAATACAAATTTGATTGTTATCCATGAATAGTTTCACTGGGAAACATACAACAGAAATGTTTCCATGAGAAAAAATAAATATTCAATTGTTATCCATATATAGTGTTGAGCAGGTCCAGAGTTTTACCAACATGATTTAGTTCTAGTAATGAAAATCAATTATATGCTACTGTTTTAATATTTCATTTTAGGAGTTACTAACAAACGTTATAATAGTATGATATGCAAGAAGTATGATCTTTTTGAGTCTTAACATTGCTGACAACTGTAAACAATAGTATCTTGCTTTGGGGTTTTTGTAAGAGTTAATGGAAAAGTATCCAAGAAAAAATATAGCAATAAATTTTTCCGGGGTAAAAAACAATCAAATGTGATTGTGATGAAATAAAATATATAAAAACTACAAAGCAAAGAGTTCAAATCCTGATTCAGCACTGCTACTGAAATTAAGCCGACTCTTACGGAATAATTCATCATATCAGAGGGATACAAACAACTTAATATTATAACGAACTAGTTGTTTCATTGACAATCATATCACATCTCCTTCTTTATATGGAATTAGGTTATAGAAACTGTTGAAAAATATACACAAATAAACTACTTCCTTGTTTTTAAGAAAATTAATGATTTCCAAAGTGAACGTGATTTGTGAGGGAAGCAATAGAAACTCGAATTTCCGCCATATACAATGTGAGAAAAATGCATAGATTTCTGAACATGATTCAATTTTACTTATTGAAATCATCTTAACTTTACAAGTTTATTTTCCGAGGATTACACGGACAATCAGTGCTACACAAGTTTAATTTCCGAGGATTATACAGACAATCAGTGCTACAAAAAGGAATATCTCATATAGGATTATTTTTTTTATGAAAAAGAATAGCCAAAAAGAATATATGTTTTTAGGGAAATGATTAAGTTTCATAAAACAAAACAGACAACAAAAATATTTTCCTGGGGAAACTATACAGATTCAACTGGTATTCACGAAAAGTTTCATAGGGAATTAGAAAATTAAAGGTACTATATTACGCGTAAGTATTTCTGATATTTTGCACAGGATATCTTTTAGTTTCCCAGGGGAAATAAATGGACGAAAACTTTAGTCAGGTGATTTATGCTCCCAGTATACAAACGTATACGCACTTCCGTTATAAAACACAAAAGAAGGATTTCAATGCTCTTCAACTTCGTACTTTATGAGGCATGTTTTGCATTTTTGATTCGGGCGTTACTGATCATTCTTCTGTAAACGAAACGCGCGTCTGGCGTACACAATTTTAATCATGGTATTTATGATGAGATTATTCTGTATACATGCCACGTATTTCACGAAGAAAGACTTTGTAAATGCATATGTTGGCCCAGTAAGAACTGATAACGAATAATTTGACCTTAGACGAAATTAAATGAACATATTTACACTCTGCTCATTTTAATAACCCCAACAGAAAAACATACCTAATGTTATTTTAGAATATCGAGCGAACCAAAATGAACCTCATACATGTTTCAAGAAAGAACTGAATCAGGAGTGTGATAAAAAATAAATAATAAAGTTAAACACTTAAAAATCAAAGTAATAAGTAAAATTTATCTAGGTATTACACTCAAGGCCCTACATACTGATTATTATTACATTGCATATGGTCATGCTTTCCCATACTACCACTTCTATCGTATTTACTAGTATACTAAATCCTTTGAAGGTGTACTGTTAATTTAGTCTAGGAAAAAGTAGTTTATTAATTATTTGAAATTGGGCTTTGAGCTAGCTTTTTGTAATTATGTATGATCTTAGATCGGTACTCTGTGTCTTTTATCCTTCATCTTCTTGCTATTTGTTTTTTGGTCAAAATACCTATTTACAATATACCAGATATGCAGAGGAAATGTTATTTTGAGACGATGTACATCAAATACGCTAAGAATGAAACGTAATTCTCGAACAACATATATCTGATACCATCAGGACCAAGTGTAATTCTGGATCAACCAAAATCAGTTATGCTCAGTATTTCTGGAATAACCAACAAACTACAGCAGTTACGCTCAGGTGAAATTTGTATCTGGAACAACCTATAACAGATACCATTAGACCTTAAAATTTATTCTGGAACAACCTACATATGATACCATCAGGACCAATTGTAATTCTGGATCAACCAAAATCAGTTATGCTCAGTATTTCTGGAATAACCAACAAACTACAGCAGTTACGCTCAGGTGAAATTTGTATCTGGAACAACCTATAACAGATACCCTTAGACCTTAAAATTTATTCTAGAAAAACCTACTACAGATACACACAGGACCAAACACTTTTATCTGGAACAATCCACAACAAATACCCTTAGATCCAATATTTTTTGTGGAACAACCTACAACAGGTACACTCAGGACCAAACGTTTGCCTTTTACATCCTTCTTAAAAAACTGTTGTAATTTAGACATCTTAAATTACGTTATATGATCTAGCAGACATCGACACAGGAGTACTTAGTATTCGAAAAACATATGCGCACAAAACGTTATTCTCGAGCACCTTCATCAGGACGAAACATTTTTTTCTGGAACAACTCCATCAACAAGCTTATATTAGATACGCTCAGAATCAAACGTAGTTCTAGAACAGTGTACACCAGATAAACCCAAGACCAAACGCAATTAATTCTGGAACGACCTACAGCAGATAACGTTAGGATAAAAAAAATGAACGCCTATCTGGGCTAAACGTAGTCCCGAAACGACATTAATGCAGCCAAATGCATAAACATCCATGAATATACATGATCAACACAAAAAAAGTTTCGAAAAATAAGAAATAACGGTCAACCTAACCAAAAAATAACGGCCAACCTTACCAAAAAATAACGGTCAACCTTACCAAAAATAACGATCAACCTTACCAAGAAAAAACGGTCAACCTTACCAAGAAATAACGGTCAACCTTACCAAGAAATAACGGGTAACCTTACCGAGAAAAAACAATTAACCTTACCAAAGAGAGTTGCAACGTGTGTCTCAAGAAAAAAGGTAAACAATGGAAAATGCATCAGACAAAACCAATTTGATAATAATGTTATATGTTCTAGTCATTCTGTGCCACACGTGGTAGCCAGTTGCTCACAATCAATGATCAAGATGAGAATAATTGGATTTATTCTACAGTTGGTGAATTATCATATGTAAGTCATAACATTATATACGAATATTGATTACTGACGAATAACATGAAGGAACGATTATTTTGGTTTGCTTACTTCAGTTTTGGAAATAAATGAATTTTATCTTTTCTTTCTTCGAAAACTACATGTACCAAGTCAGGAATATGACAGTTCTTTTGCAGTCGTTCGGTTGTTTGATACAGTATAACATTTGATTTTGTCACTTTTTATGGAATTCCCCTTTTTGAATTTAAACCCCTCGTGCGGTATATTTTTAATACTTTTTTTCTATCTATATTCGGATTAAGAACAAATTTAACAATAAAAAATTTGTGTCGATCCGGAAGAAGGGCTAAAAGATTGATTTTAACAGTAAGAGATGGTCTCATAAAAAGGCACACCTGCCTGCAATGATTAAATTTTAAAATCCGCCTCTTAAAGGGAGCTTGACAGTCTCTCAATACCAGGAATCGGATTTTTCGTTCCATTGTTGACCCGACGTCACTGCGTATTAAAAATATTTATGATATCCAAACAGACACCAATCAATTGTTCTTACTACCGAACAAAAACATTTGAGTTGGTCCTATGTGTATACAAAAGTTAATCCTGTTCGTATCTTGCTGCATATAAGTAAAATATATAAATCATGTCCCTTTGACCATAAATTCAGCTGGATTGTAAAGAAGTACATTACTTGCAAATAAGACTCTGAAAGAATGTGTGGGTTCCATATATATAAAGATAAGTTCAGTAAATGACATCATAAATATCATAAATCAGACAAAAAAAAACTGTAAACAACTACGGGTCACCGTACGACGTTTATCAATGAGCAAAACCCTACCCATAGTAACTTATAAAATTTGGAATGACAAAATCTGAAACTGTTCCAAAGAGAAAAATAGAACAGGCAGCAACCAACGAGAACCACTACCGTAGTAATCATAACTTTCGAATTCAGAACAAATCATATCATTCATATATTTGCTTCAAATCATTAAAAGTTATATTTTATAATCAATTTTGTTTCCATTAAAATACATGTAAATGTATCTGATTAAAATTGAAGCGCTTTTGGCTTCAATTCAAAAGTTATTATTTATTTAATTGGACATTACATGCAAAAATTGGCTGTCTAGGACTAACAACGGAAATTTGTTTTTTTTTCAATTTTATCCTAGTCAGTAGCACATACATATTTATGCTTTAATTGTACGCCTTTGTTTTAAATAATCTGTCAAATCTTAAACCTCCGAAGACATGACATAAAAAATGATTGGCTAGCCGATTTACACCCGCAGAACATTTATATCATGCAAGATTGAGACCTAAATAGGAAAACTAAAACTATTAACTGTAAGAAAGCGTAAAGCGAAAACCTAACACCAGTCATCTCAAGTCAACTTAACGAAGAGGAGATGATGCGCAACAAAACTAGCCAACAGCAGCTGATTTAATCAATCAAACATACAAAAAAAATTTAGGACTAAAATAATGAAACAAGTTCATCAAACTAAAAACATGTCATAAATTAATTATAATAATCCAATAGGTATCAGGGACATTTTTCTGGATAGCCGGGATTCGTGATTCTGGTGGCGATATTGTATGGCAAGACACACATGCAGCACAAATCTCAATTTTATATTCTAACTGGAAATCTGGTGAACCAAATGGTCCTGCTGGTGTGGCTGACTGTGCAAGTGTGTACATTAGCTCTGGTAAATGGGATGATATAAGATGCGACGGAATCCATACTGTTGTGTGTAAAAAACTTGAAAGCTGAAATCACAGGGTAGTTTGCAAGTTTGACTCGTTAAACAGACACAATATATTCTTTAACAATTCATGTATTGTATTTTAGATATTGGCCTGTTATGTTTCTTTTCTCGTCACTTGAACATATTTAGGGTCAGTGTCCCTGACAATTTATACCACATCTTCTTATTTTTATATATAGCGAATTTCAATTTCATATTCTAACTGGAAATCTGGTGAACCAAATGGTCCTGCTGGTGTTGCTGACTGTGCAAGTGTAAACATTAGCTCTAGTGGTCGTTGATTCATGTATCATATCTATTTTTATTATATTGTTTTTCTAATAAACTAGGTCGTTAGTTTTTTCTATTGAATTGTTTCATATTTTTCATGTCGGGGCCTTTTAGGTTGCAATTCTGTAAATTTAGACAATGCAATTTCCCATAGGAACTCCCTTTGCGGCTAAAACTGTGCCACTTTTACTAGGAAGTTTCGTGAAAAATTATATCCCAGAACGGAAAGTTGATATGCACTACTATTTTATTCAAAGGTCAAAATATAGGGCTGCGCGGCATATTTTTAACATTTATATGCCCTGAACTTCTAAATGTTTAAACTTATACTAAAATTCTATACTACTCATGCCTCCACTTTTGAACCTCCTAAGAATTAAATTTTAGGCGCTACCATTTTTTTTCTATACTGGTAACATTCTCAAGTAATGTCTCTATGAGATGAAACACAGAGATCAAATCTGGGAACCAGTACGTTAACAAATTAACATATCTATGAATAGTATATATCTCCCCAAAAGAGGCGTGGCTTGTGAAACAGCTGTATTAAAAAAGTGCAACCTATTTAGCAGACCATACGGTATGGTTTTTTCTCATGTTGAAGGCCGTACGGTTGCGTATAATTACTGAAATCTACTTCATTTGAACTTTTGTGTATAGTTGTCTCATTCGCAATCATACAACATCTCCTTATTTTTAGCTCAACTGGCCCAAAGGGCCAAGTGATCTTTTTTCATCGTCGTTAACTTTTTACAAAAATCTCCTCCTCTGAAACTATCGGGCCAAATTTAACCAAACTTAGCCAAAATTATTATAAGGATATGTAGTTTAAATAAATGTGTCCGATGACCCCACTTGCCAACCAACATGGCCGGCATGGCTAAAAATAGAACTTCGGGGTGAAATGCAAGTTTTGTCTATTATCTTGAAAACCGCTATCCATAGAGAAAATCTGACGGGTGACAGAAATGTTCAGAATAATGAGATCTACCTATTATCATTTTACATCAAAACTGTCAGACGACTTCTCATAGGAGTTATTGCCCTTGAATGACGTAGTTTACCATTTTTATACCCCCGCTTTAAAAAAGTGGGGTATACTGTTTTACCTCTGTCCGTTCGTCTGTCCGTCCGTCCGTCCATCCGTCAGTCCGTCCGTCCGTCCCATGAATACTTCTCGTCGCATCTTTCTCCGGAACTACATCATAAGGATTTCTGAAATTTGGTTTCAGGGTTTATATATGTCAGCTATACCGTGTGATGCGTTTTCAGATTCATAACTCAACAACAAATGCATATTTGGGCGGGGTTATCATCAGTGAGCAGTAGCTCGCAGTTTCACTTGTTTTTTTTCTTTTTTGTCTATTATCTTGAAAATGATAATAGTTAGAGAGAACTTTTAATGTCGAAATGATCAACAAGACAAGATCTGCAAATAAGTGTAACATTATCCAAATCATCAGACGACTCCTTATTGGAGTAATTGCCCTTTAATGACGATTTTTATAATTTTTTCGTGTTTGTGCCTAATATTTGAAAAACTATAACAGATAGATAGAAACTTTCAAAAGCAAAAAATTATCAACTCTACAAATTTGTAAAATAATCGAAATCATCAGACGACTCCTTATTGGATTTATTGTCCTTTAATGATAATTTTTAGCATTTTTATGCATTTTTGTCTAATATCTGAAAAGCTAAAATAGATAAATAGAAAATTAAAAAAGCAAATATTATCAGCCAGTCGAGATCTACAAATAAGTCTCCTGGCCAAAATCTTTTTTTTTCACTCCTTTTTGGAGTTATTGCGACTTTATGACAATTTTTACCCATTTTTAGCGTTCTTCCTCTATCTTGAAAACTATTATGAAAGATAGCCACTACAAATAGCACAAATGAACAGCAAGACTAGATCTACAAATTAGTCAGCATAGCAGAAATGGTAAGTAGACTCCTGATTGGAGTTCTTGCTTTTTAATGACAATTTTACCAATATTTTTACGTTTTTGCCTATTATCTTGATAACTATAAAAGAAGGATAGACAATTAAAATAGTCTAAAAATGATAAGCAAGATAAGATCTACAAATAAATCAAAATTTGCCGAAATCGTTAGTAGACTCTTTGAAGGAATAATTGCCCTTAAATGACAATTTGTATGCCCTTTTTAGTGGGTTGGGCAAAAACTAAACAAGATAGATAATAACTGTACACAGAAAAAATTATCAGCAAAATAAGATCAACCAAAAAAAAAGACATTTTGTAGTCCACATTGTTGACGATGCACACAGACCTAGGTGAACGACATAGGCTCTTTAGAGCCTCTAGTTATATAGCGTTCCTGTTAACATAATATGGACCAAGGTTTATCCTCATCAGGTATCCCTCTCATATTTTCTCAAATTTCGTTATTTAATAAACTGCATTTTTGTTTTTCCGTTTTGCTCGATTAGCTGCCAATGTTTTCTAATAGCTGAACTGATTCAATGAAATGTCTTATTGAATATCGTTGAAAACACTACAGCAGGAATAGATCCTTTCTATACTATGCAATTAACATTTTTTTTATTGTGTTTTGCATATACTATCAATTTAATTTTCCCAGTGTCCTCAGATTTTCTCGGTTGTCTCTTACCACATCCACTAGACATTAAAGTCCGTTTGAGTTCTATCAATCTCCAAAAAAGAATATACAAATTTCATTTGTGGCAGCTGAATCCATATTTTCGTCTTATTGTCATACAAACTCTGACAATTTATGACAATGCTTTTGTCAATACATCAATCAGTTGTCTATAATGTCTGTATAGTAAATATTTATTCCACAATCTAACCTATACAGTATATGACCATAACAACAATTCAATTGTCCTTAGCATTACCAATCACTCAAACGCAAACGAAAGACCCTTTAACAAGATAATCTTGAATATTTAATTAATGTTGTTTAAACTTTGAATAGAACATCTCGCCAGTTGTTGTTAAGGATGTTTGCTACTCTTATTTTTGACTTCTTGTCAGATATTCGGAACCCTCTAGTTTTATCCATGTAGTGCCAATAAAAAAAAATTGCCCGCTAACCCCTACTTTTCTTTTCGTTAATTTATTACATAACAGTTTAAAAAGCCATTTTTAAAAATCTTATGAAATCCTTGTTATTTTTTCATTTTTTTTGAAAGAAAAAAGATGCCAATGTTAAATTTATGAAAAAACTAGAGAGAATCATTTCCCGCCAAATTTTCAGTTGATAATATCTCAAAAACAAGGACATGGACCTTTCATTTTTTTTCTCTTTTTAAGTTTCGTTATGTATATACTATCAATTTATCACAGTCTTTGAAAAAGCTTGTTATTTTATAACAGAGGACCGAACATCTGTTCAAAACTCCATTACCTTTTATTTGCCTTGTTCAGAAATTATATGCATTAGACCTAATATCCAACGTTTAAGGATTTAGGTGAGGTTTTGGCATTTGTGTCAAATATTCGGACTCCTTGGTGTTTTTCCATACAATACAAGGTAAAATATTTTGCCCCATAACACCCATTTATTTTTTCATACAAGATTTAATAGCTCATAAAAGGATTTACCAAAATTATAGCAGATTGTTGATTTTCCTTCTTTTGATTTGAGACCCAAATAATACCAATGCAAATATAAGGTAAAAGTCGGAGTCAGCCTTTTCCCGCCATATTTTAAATATCAAATATCTCGAAAAGGAGGTCCATGAGCTATCAATATTTTTTGCTTATTTTGATTCTTCACCAATGATATTTGGACTTATAGTATCAATTTTAAATTCTTGATTTTTTGAATTTCACAAACCCTCACATAAGTACATCCTTAAGTGCGTAAGTAACAATTCTGAATTTTTTCCCCGCATTATCAATAAACAAGATGTTGAACAAAACTTCAAAAAGGGTGTTGGTGCTTTGAATAGTACGATGATTAGAAATCCGTACTTTTCTCCTTCCTTCTAAATGCAATAAATAAGATGGTTTTCTTTCTTCTAAAACAAAACAAACAAAAACAAAACGAAGACAGAACGTTATATGGCAGGATCATCTGTTCCACACAACTATGTTACGACAGTCAATAAAGGCATCCAAGATATGTTGTTAAAGGAATACACGACCACCAATTTTAATTATAAACCTTTAAAGAATCATAATATTTACTTCGTTTAGAATTCCGCTCGAAAATGCATACAACGCATGACAGTGGAGCCAAACAATATTTTTCTACACCTTTCATTATAAAATTTCTCTTCCTTTATTGATATGCCATTAAACACCAACAATCAATCAATCAAACTCGTTAAGCAATGTTTGTGCGTAGAACAACAATAACAAGTAATTTGTTAGGTTTGAGAAAAAAATTCTTTAATATGAACACCATTAATTACAATAGCAAATAACATAGATATGCTACAGTGAATTTGTATAATTAGGGAATATGTAGAATCCCTGATTTTCCAGGGATGTTGCATAATCACTAAAATCATTAGTACTAATATATAATCTCTGAAAATGACCAGTCATGTTACATCATCACTGAAAATGTTATGAATTATTTTACAAATTCCCTGGAATGTTTTCAGGGATTATCAATAATACAAATATTCTCTGTTTGGTAAAAATAAATAGAATACAGACAAATACATCACATGTATAAACTCTTTATGGTTTAAGTAGACAGTCCCTATCGATTTTTCAAATCTTATCAAAGTGAACAGTTTTTCTGGTGATATTCTATTTAAATGTGTTAAACCACATTAACTCATAAACAAATAATTATTTTAAATTGAAACTAATACTACCAACATAAATGCACAGATCATCTAATTTGATCATGCACCTGAGATCACCCCCAGT